GTGAAATGATAACAGCTTGCTCAGCTATTATCACTGTGAGAAAGAATTTATAAAGCAAGTCTTGATTCCAACAACAGTAATAAAAGGGTCATCATGCAGTATTCTATAATATGCAAACTTATATATCACAAAAAGATTATACTGACTACTAAGTACAATTTTATATTGACATGTTATCAAAGGCTTTACAGACAGACAGCAAAATAATAAAAAGCAGGCTTAAGGCGCACAAGCAAGAGACACCACACACACACACACACACACAGACAACAAATGATTTGATAAACAACTGCCACGTCTGAGAAAATGAACTGAAGTTTATCCAAGTAAATCAGATTGGCAAAGGTCGATTTTCAGCCCCAAACACACGTTACGTGCTGTGGACACTTCAGTCTGTTAGTGTGTCCGGTATCGAAACGCAGTGAACACGTCATGCCCTACAGTCATAACTGACACAATGTCAGTGACAAAGTGGAATAAGAAACTTAAAATATACTTTAGTTCCCTAAAATAAAGAACTTTAGAAGAAATAAACACACTAAATATAAAAATACACGCACAAATAGAACATGTATCATGTATGATGTGTTTTATTGAGACTGTGTCACAGGTGCGCATAGCTGATAATAACTGTTATGAAAGTCTTAATTGTTCCATGCTGAGAAAAACTTCCCACGTCGTAAATAACGTAATATCGTAAATAACGTAATATCGTAAATAACGTAATATCGTAAATAACGTAATATCGTAACTGGCTGTGTTTTGCTTGCTGGTTGATGCAAACTCGCTGAAAGATGAGTAAATAAAAACGAGAAGCTCCTCTGGTGCTCGCAGACGGACGAACAGCTCACATCACTACAGCAAACTGTCCGCTAAAAGCCGCACAGCTCGTCATTTTACAATTAATGAATCGCGTTATTGATCACCGATAATTCACCATGGCGACCACTATCAAAGCCTTAAACTTACCGGAGCTCAGGTGGAATTGTCCCTCAGACACAAGCTGCAGTCCGTCACTCGCGGGATCTCACGGACGCGCTGCGGGATCCCTCCCTCACCCACTGCCCTCACCCAGTATTGTCCCGTGTTCATCGGTCACGCTGCTCTGGGATCAGTTTACCGGGTGGATTGGTTACCGTGTCCGAGTTCACCGAGACCGATAACGTCGTGCGCATGTGCACACCCCACTTCAGCTTGGCTCATCTTATCTTAATAGCAGTCATTCAGTCAGGTAATCTATTAGAGCCTCGGGCTGATGTTAATGATACACCAGACAAGAGAAATCAGGAGTGCACGAGGCAAAGAAACAAAGTCATCTCAGCAAATCTCTGACTATGAACTTTTTATTGATGTTCAATAGCAGAACAGACATTAGGAGAACTGGCATGTTGCTGGATTACCTCTAAAGCAGGAGTTAACAGTGATTTTGTTTTTATTCTTAAAAGAATCACAGACAGGTTTGTATTTTCATTATCTACCAGAATCAGAG